ATCAAAGAAAGGAAAGGAAAGAAAAAAAAATCAAAGAAAGGAATGGAAAGAAACAAAGAAAGGAAATAAGAAAAAAAGAAAAACACGAAGATAGTTTACCAATAAAGGAATTCATTGTTTTTCTCATGGCTTATTTTATTTACATTGGAAAAACTGGGTGGGGGTGGGGGATTATAGTTTTAAAAAGACGACGAGTGATATTTTGAATTCCAGAATATATAAATTTAAAACAATACCAATCATAGCAATTCCACAAAAACTAACATAAGAAAACCTAGTTTTAAGTTTATATTGTTAGTGTTAAACTGTTAATTATTATTATTATTATTATTTAAAGGTCATATTAGTGATGATAATTCAATTCATGGATTATTTGTCCTTTACCACTTATTTGTTTCTTTTTTTTTCCCTTTAAGTTTAAATTAACATTTTATTCCAACTAACTTATATGATCGTGGGAAATAAATACTAGTGTTTTTTTTTTTTTTTTTTTTGGGTTTTTTTGTTAAGTTTCTCCACTCATCAAATTTCAGGAGGAAAACAAAAAAATCGTACATTATTTATTTATTAAGAAGCATGATTTATCAATAAACTTATGGTCGCATCCTCGTTCTAAATTACAAATCAATTTAAAGGAGTAAAAAAAATAAAATAAAAGTAAATTTGATAAAGTGAGTAGGGCAGCCGTTTTTGCTGTTTTTTTTTAAGACCAGCTGATTGACGACGGTCCGTTTTTTAAAGATGGTCATGTGACCGAACACACACCCTCTTGTCAATTTCAGCAAATTGGACTTCTTGGTCATTGTCGTGAAATAATTTAATTATTTTTATTCTGAATCCCCGGAGCTTTTTGATTTTTAACTGTTCGAAATTGATTAACTAAAGAAACTATATCCCAAAATGTGTTTAGTTTAAATAAAATAAATTGATAAAAGAAAACACTTAAAAAAAACAAAAAAAACAAGGCTACCAACTCCAGAGGGACGGCCAGTTTAATAAAATAATACAATATGTAAGTTAGTAATAATGAAAAAAAAAATGACCCACCCGTAAAGAATATTTAGTGGGACATCAGATGGTGGGTTTAAAACTGATTGCACGGTTATTATTTGTGTTTTTACCCCCACCTTTCTTTGTTGTGGTCTTTTATTTTGATGTGTCTGAAGGGAAAGAAAGAAATTAGAAATGAAAGATTCTATGGTTGACAATTTGATTGTTGTAAGCAAGAAGTGCCATCCGAGCCGAAAGAAAGGAGAAACAGCTGATAATTGTTTTAACACGTACACACACAAGCACTCAACTCGGTTTTATCCACGTCAAGAATGTTCAATTGCTGTGACAATCACGTCCTAACTTTCAAGTGACCTTAACATGAACTAAGAATAAAATTTTGTATAGTTTTTAAGTTGTTTCATTTTTTTTTACCCTTTTTTACAAAGAGACCGAATTTTGTGGTAATGTTTTTGTTGTGTTTTTTACGACGATGTACATCAGAAGTCATTGAAAAAAAAAAAAAACTTATTATTAAACTTATGTACTAACTAATAAGAGCTGTATTATGTCCGTAAGCTTAGAGTTTGTTTTCAAAATAAATTTAAAAAAAGTAGACATCATAAAAGAATGTAAATTTATTTCGAATAATACTGCTTTTGAGTTTAATTTCTTATTAAAAAAATATTATTTTTAAAATATACACGGGTTTCATTCAAGCTTTAAAAAAAAACTTTATTATTCTGTTCATATTCATAGCTATTGTTCCAAAACTTTCTTATAGAATTTAATTAATGATCAGTTTTACTTAGTTAGATATTAATGAAATGGACAACAAAAAAAATAGCAAAATACTAATTTTTTAGTATTTAAAATTTTCAGAAGAATATATTAAGAAGAAAAATTAAATACATCCCCCCAATACATAATGTATTTCATTGGGGGGATAAAAAATTCTGTATTGCAAGTGGTAATTATTATGCAAATGAATGACTAAAATCAGGGGAAAAATACTAAGTTATGTGTCCAAAGTGTGAGCGTATATATATATATATATATAGGTTAAATAAAAAGTGTCAAAAAAATTCAATACAGATGACTGAGGTTAAAAAAGTCAGACTGAGGTTGTTTTGGTTTTTAGAGATTTTTTTTTCAATTGATTCCTTTTCAATAAAAAAGGTGACAGAAAAATCTTGTTGAGTATGAAGAAAAAAAAACAAAAGGATAATAAAATACATAAATTAAGAAAGTATTTATAAAAAAAACTTTTAAATTTAAAAATACCATATCTCTATGCTTCTTCTTATGCATATGCAAAGCTTTTAAAAACATTTAAATTATTAATTATAAAAATTAAATTTATTACTGACTTTTCAAAAGAGATCGCTACATTGTTAAGAAAAATATTTAAACAAAAAGATGATCCATTTCATTTATTTATTTATCTTGTTTTTTTGTTTTTTTAAATACTAAACATCACGAAATAAAATAAAGAAATGCGGTGATGGTAATCTTTGTGTTTGGGTTTAAAACTTGGATAATAAGGATTTTAATTCAATTATTCATTGTTCGTTTATTGACGAAATAAAGGTAAATTTATTAAGGTATCAAGACATATGGTCCATCCAAAATATAAAAGAATAAATAACCTTATTAAAAAAAACAAAACAAAAAAAAAAACATACCTCTTTCTGGTTTCATTGCCACGTCTCTGACGAAAAACCAACCAAAAATTACTGCAGTCCAATTTTCAAAATTTAAAAAAAAAATAGGGTTTTTTTTCCTCTTCTCTCTCCTTTGAAAGTGGATTTAAAGGGGGAAAAGGATTCCCCCTTTAAACATTTAAAAAATATATATATATCAGGATCTTGCGTAATTTTTTCTTCACCCTTCGTTTACAGTCTTACATTGTTGTTGGAATGAAATCTCTCTTGTTGTAATCACAGTAGCGGATTGACTTCTAGTGCTGGACAACAACAACCATGCCATTTTTGTATGTATATATATATATATATATATATATATATATAAATATATATATATATATATTATATACTATGTATATAATATATATATTATATATAATACAAATAATACATATGCACACACAAAGTTTTAGTTTTATCCTTTTTTTAAAATAAAAAAATATTATTCGTGTTTGATAATTGGTTAGAGTTTGTTTTTTTGTTTTGTTTTTTAAGTAATTAATAAATTAAATAACCATAAAGACATCGAGTATTATTTGATAAATTTTGCATTGATAAAAAAAAATAGTAAACGACAAAAAAAAAGCGTGAACTGTCAAATTTCTCGTCTTCTTGTGTAATTAAAAAAAAAATCTACAATTCTGTAATCAACTATGATTTAGAGAAAATAAAAATTATCTCAAGTAATTAGACTTTCTTAATGGAAATATATATATATATATATATATATATATATATATATATATATATATTTTTTTGCCCGTGTGTTAACTAAAAAAGTAAATCGGGTCCAGATTTTTTTTGTTGTTCTTTCTTGATCTTTGTCGCGTTAAAAAATAAAACAAACCAATTTTTTTTAGGCTGATAACGAATTATTACACCACAAAGAAAACCGACCAAAATAGACTTCTGCTTTCATTTTTACCTTGAAAGTAAAAAATATATATATATATTCCTAGGTGATTTTCTATGTATTTGTCAGGTTTACTTGACAAATAGCTAGCTAGCTAGCTATTCAGCAATTTACCAAGCTAGAGTGGGTGTGTGTGTGTGCAGATTGGCTTTGCCAGCAATTTGACTTCCATTGGTATGATGATGAAAGAAAGAAGTTTCGATTTTTCAAAAGTTAATCGTGTTTTTGTTTGATGGACGATTCTCTGGCGGGGGTCGCATTTGGTAATAACATCTCTCTCCATTTTTGTGACTGTCAAGGCCTTTAAATCGTCAAAGGGACGTTTGGATTTTAATTTCGCTGCTTGAGAAGTTCACAGTTCTCTCTCTAAGTCTCTAGTTCCACACTTTTTAGAGGAAGAAAGGTTGTGAAACTTTACAAAACACCGAGAGAGTGTGTCTTGTCTCTAAATAAAATATGATAGTAGTTCAGGCTGGCTGTCGAAGACTAGTTTTTGGATCTTTCGCTTCCTGCAAAGAGTGCTGTCGGGTTTTTATAGTGTTAAAAAAAAATTTTTAAAAAAGAAAGACGAGTGTGGATTTGTAAATATGCTTCTACTTCTTGCTACTTCCAGATTAGAATAGAGAGAAAAAGAGAGAAAGAAATATTGAATATGCACTGCACTGGATTTGATTTATGGTAAAAATAAGAACTACATTACGTACATGTTTAAAAATACATTTTTTTAAAGACTAGAAAGAAAAAATTAATTAAAAAGTGTAATAATTGATATCACTGTCCAGTGTTTAATTTTTTTAGAGAAATGGTGTTTGACTTTTTAGGTATTTAAAAAGTTGAATGGTTCTTTCTTTAAAAGTAAAAAAAAAATTAAAACGGTTAATGACAGAGAACTTAAATATTTTTTGTTTATGTTGTAAGTCTACAATACATTCATTTACAAAAATGAAAATCACTAAGAAATCAAGATATCGTTGTGTATATACAAAAACAGAAAACTCAATAATTAAGTTTAAAGTTCTTTTATATAGTCTTTCTATCGTGTACTGTAGTCACATACATGCGCAGATATGTATGAATATATATATATTATAAAATATACATATATATGTATATAATCAAGGCAAGGCTAGAGAAATAATAAAAAGAAATGAGGCTGGCTTTCTAGCAGACTACCAAACAAAAGTCTTCTGTACAATGAAGGCTGAATGAGTGGAAAAAATGCTGAAAGATTTCCGCGTGTGTGAGTATGTCTGTACTTGAAAGTCATTTAAACAGTCGTATGTGTGTATGTATTATTGTTATATCTAAACATATAGGGAGAAAAAAAAAAATATATATATGTATGTAGAAAGAAAGGTAAAGACAGATTATGTGTGCGTGTTTCCGAACCTATGGTTGCGAGGGAGTTGGCGGCAGTGGCGATCACGTGACTCTGCATGCGACTTAAAGCCTTGTTCTGGTCACGTGACTGACGGCTGCTCCTCGTTTCTTCTTCTTCTTCTTTTTCTTCTTCTTTTTCTTCTTCTCATTATTATTATTATTATTATTATTACTACTACTACTAGTACTACTACTACTACTACTACAATATTATTTTTTTTAAACTTTCTTACATATTCAACTTCTTTATCCTCTTTCTTTTTTTCCTTTATATGTCCGTGTTTTCCGTAGGTTTCTTGCTAAACACACTCCAAAAAGAAAAAAAAAACCAGACAGCATCATCCCTGTATTTTTCTTTCTTTTTCTTTTTTCTTTCTCCCCACTCTCCTCTCTCTTTCTCAATATGCATCGCTTATTTTCTTTTTCTACTCTTATTTTATTTATTGTGCTTTTACTTTTAGTTTTACCCTTCTCCGTTCACTTATTCACTCTCTTTATTTTTACCCATCTCCCACTTTTCCGTATGTTTTTGCTTCTCTCTTTCTGTATTTCTTTCTCTCACTCACACACACACACACACACACACACAGTTCTTCTTTTACACCCTCAACAATTCTATCTATCTATCTATCTATCTATCTATCTATCTATCTATCTATCTATCTATCTAATTTTTATTACTGCTTGTTGTCTTATTGTTGTCGATCTTAGCGTGGGAGGAGATTACCTTCCGCTGTTAGTTAACCCAGAACAACCTGTCGAATATTGGTGAGGTGATGGGCACTACAAACGAACCCCTACCTCCTTTAACCCACGAAATGCCATTAAGAAGAACCCTGTACCCAATATATTACACCGGAGGTAATCTATTACAGCTCAAAAACCAGGGATAATTCGATTTTCAGCGTAGTAGTTACTAAAGCCTGTCAATTAAATAAGACGTCAATCCTCTTTGGAGTTGAAGTTTCTAGATTTTTTTAAAAAACCTAGTTTCATCCGACACAGGATCACGATAATGGAAGAATTTGTGAGGATGGAACTCGTTAATAGACTACGAAATCAAGATTGCTAATTTTCGCTCTTCAACAGATATGGGGAGATGGATTTGGATATTTAAATTGAATGAGATTTTCCCATCATGCCCTCTTGTAAGTGTATGTGTGTGTTACTAACGTTCACCCAATGCAAGGCTCAAGAACCACTCAAGATAGAAGGTTACTGAATGAGGTGTGTGATATGAATGTAAGAATAGAATGTAGGATAGAGGATACGTAACGATTGATCCTTGACACGAAAAGTATGCACACGGGAATCTGTTCCGCAAAGTAGCGTTTCTTGGAGAAAAAAAGTCTGCGTGCAACTTCATCCTTATAAGTGGAATACTGATGGTGAATGCGAGTGTTTCAGCTCCGTGGACGTAGCGTGGTGGGCATTGGGGATAAAAATGTGAACTAAAGAATGGAACTCGTTAAAACGTTTACCATAGAAATAACAATAAATGCATTTCTTCTATTTTACCACAGCAAATCTATCTATCAATCTCTCTCTCTCTCTCTCTCTCTCTCTCTCTCTCTATCTATCTATCTATCTATCTATCTGTAAAAGGCAGGATGTGTGTGTGTGTGTAACGAATGCACGGCCGCAATTTTCGACGGATTTGCACCAAAATTTACATGCACATGCTCCAAGTTAGCGGGAAGGCCAAGACCGACTTTGCATTTCCCAACTCCCATCGATAGTGGAAATAATCGATTTTTTTCATGCTTCTACGGCAGTTTTCATGTAGTTTGCGGCCATTTTCTATGGGCCAGAGTGAGAGCCAATAACTGGCTGCCACGAATAGGCAAGAAAAATTCTATTGGCCAGTGAGAGCCAACAACTGACTGACACGAATGTTAACTAGCATGCTAGCATGCAAAAAAAAAATCAATAGCTGCATTCGTCACAAGTGTGAAAAATTTAAATCTGCATGGCACTTTACTCCAATTGGCTCATTCGCTTGCTTAAACTCAACGTTGATTCTGATTCCGCAGAACTGGGTTGGGTGTGAAAAAGTAATTGTTGTTAACGCTCTTTTTTCATTCGGTTTTTCCAGTTACGAGTCCTTTTTTAAAGCTAATCGTTTTGCGTTCATTTTGTTTAGTTCTTTTTTCGTAACAGATTTAATGTTTAGTATAGAGCTTAGAAAAAATTCGCAGTGTGAGAACGGCAAGAAGTAAGGCATGTGGCAACATCAGCACGGCAAAGGACACTCCTTTAAAGGCAAGGAAGGGCCATGCTGTTAGCATATATATATATATATATATATATATATATATATATATATATATATATATATATATATATATGATAATAGACCACTGTATTCTAGCCAATCCCTATTGCAGACGCTCAGACACATTTATGTTTGCTCAACACCCACAGAGCCAACCTGTAGTTTATACTGAGCAGACCTTAGTTACAGTTTCTGGGAGAGAGCGTGTTATATAAAATGACCAACAATTTGAACAAGGCCAGCACGGTCACGCCGTCGGTGAGTTCCGTCGACTCAATTTTTACGTGGAATGGTTTCCCCGCACACTGGGATCGATCTCGATCCAGTCTCCTTCCTGACAAATCGACCATGTCTATGTGTCTCTTTCTCCCTCTCTCTCTCTCTCTCTCTCTATCTCTATATATATATATATATATATATATATATATATATAAAACACACACAAACACATATATGTGTTGATATTTCTTCTTTTTCACTGTTGTTTAAACAATGGGCTACAGTTCTTTTTTGTTTTGTTTTTATTTATTTGATTAAAAAAAAAACTCCAAACAGTACCATACAATGTTGTAGACGGTTTCTAAAGTTTTCTATCACCCGGAAGTTCGAGCCCTTCGAGGTCTTCCAGGTGACTTTCTTTTAAGATCACCTTCTTGGAACGAACTCACTACTCAGACAACTAGAATAGCCCGTTAACCATTACACGCCGAAGCTCCCGAAATGTTTATTCTGTTTAGTTTGGCACAAGCACACAAATAAATCTGAGGCGCCCAAAATATTTACAAAGCCTAATTTGGCGCAACACCACAACTCAATAAGAACTGAATTCACTATTCACTTCTAATGGTCAACCAAACAAAATCGCTAACTATTACTCCCACCTAAGGTTAGTTCGACTCTAGGTTACAAGTATAGATCACTCAGTGACGATTGAGCTCTCAATTCAATCCTAAAATATCACACTACAGTAAACAATGTTATCGCAATTTGATAACTATGAAAGTCAAGTTTTTCATTACCTGAAGTGTGTATACATTTTGGGAGCAGACTCTGTATTTGTGGTGCAGTTCAATTTGTATTACAATGAATCATTTATACAAAAATTAGATTAGTGACGTTGTTTTTAAAAATTATAAACTGTATAAGGTCTTTCTTTAATATGCAAGTACTTTCAACTGTATATTCAGTCATCTTCAGTCATGGAAATTATTTTGTTTTTGGTAAAATTCAGGTAGCATCCGAGACGAAAAAATTAAATGCGAATCGAAATATTTTTTTTTAAATGTGTTATTGTTAACGGATACAAACTTTTATATCATTAACTTTACTAATCTACTTTTTGTATGATTGATTCATTGTAATACATACATATATATATATATATATATATATATATATATATATATATATATATATATATATATATAAACAGAGAGAGGTATACACACATACATCCACATGGACGCACACACGCAAATATAACTTTTATTGACTGGAAATGGAAACGGTGTTTATATATCAAAGTACAATTTGGGTTAAGATGTATGCTTACCGATGAGAAACACGATCTCAGGGCAGGAGGCGATGTTTTAAACCTGGGTCACTTGTAAACAATGGGGATGGGCGAGATACTTGGTTTTGTTTAACAGTATTTGTTTTGATTAAAAGGTTGAATCAAGTTTAGATATCCCAAAGTATAATTTTGATGAAGCGAGAAGAACTCGTGATTGAGATAAGGTAAATAATTGTCAAGGAATAGTTTTTGGCACTCGTGGTAGCTGCGTGCCGGGCCGAGGGTCAATTGAGATCAGCTGATCCTTTTTCTATATTAACTCGAGATTTTGCTAATAAAGCAGAGTCGGGGAAAGAGACTATCGTCGCAGTGAGATGAGAGATTTGCGGGAGAATTTTGGAAGAGAGAGAGAAGACTGCCCCCTGTTCTGAGAAGTCTGTATGAGACGCGACTATCAGTCATAAACCTACCCCAGGCGATTCAATACGTGTTTATCACTCACAAACCCGCTCTCTGTTGGGAATTCGCTGGATGCATTTTGTTTTTTTCTTTTTCTTTTCTCATTTATGTTAAATGTTTTTATTCTCCCTGTAACCTCTGTTCTGATGTTATCTTCTTATATAAAAGACGTCAATATTTCCCCCATTGTTGCCTGGCTTCTGCAGATATTATTTCTTGTTTTATTTTGCCACATTCTAAAACTTCCTAGCGCCAACAGTCACAGCCGTGTCCACATCCCCAGTCGACCGCGAACGAATGAACAACACCCCGCTTAGTGGATCTAAAAACTAAAACGGCGTGGGCAGCGAGCAGGACTTGACCAGTTGACACGAACAACACATAAGATTGGCGTGTAGAAATAGTCAACTGCTAGAAGTAAGTTAAGTGAATTTCACAATGAATCTCCAACTACAGGATATCTATCTACCGCACCATGCGCTCAGATATGGCACAAGGCGGAATTTAATGTGGAGTACACGAGCCCGTAGGCTCGGCTAAAAATTCCCTGTAGAGCCCGTATAAAACTGGGCCGGGAAGCTGTTTCCCGAGGCGAGACTTTGACCTTCGACGTAGCCTCGTGTGGGGATCCTCTCTGTCCGGAGGCAGAGAGTTTGACCAGCACAGCTGGAGACGAATCTCTAACTGCAGACAAACATACAGTATTTACTACTGTATTTATGTGAATCGGGACATATACCCATTATCGTCCGTAGGTATACTACAACAATTTTGAACTGATTCAGTTTTTCTTATCAAATCCAGAAATGAAAGTTGTCTTCTCGATCTTTTTTTATTAATGCAGGTGTCCCCCAGGGCCCTGTCCTTTGACCTACGTCGCTCTTAATTTTCATCACTGACTCAGGTGAACCACTTGATCCTTCTAACACTCTGCCTATTAGCCTTCTACTTCTTTTTGGCAAAGTACTAGATGCTCTAATCAAGTCTAAACTGGTTAAGCATCTACCTCACAGGGTCTTCTTTCAGATAAGCAATATGGCTTTTACTTCTTTAAGTCAGCTGGTCATCTACTGAATTATTGCTGAAAGAGTCTATCAAGCTTTAGATAAGAATAATGAAGCTCGGGGTGTTGCTTTGGATATCTCACATGTTATTTCTGGATTAATTTTTCAACTGATCCAGTCTTTCTTATCAAATCCAGAAATAAAAATTGTCTTCTAGATTTTTTTCCTTAACAAGTGCCCCCACTAGGGCTCTGTCCTTCGACCTACGTTGCTCTTAATTAATGACCTACCTGATGTCATCAGTTCTCAAATCTATCTTAATGACACAACTATTTACTCCCATCTTAATAGTAAATTTGATTGGCTCGATAAAGTCAAATTAATCTAAAACTAACCGACAATATAGGCTAAGGAATGTCATGTTAATTTTAACGCCTCCAAAATGAAACTGCATCTCAGAGACCCTTTTTGCCTTCCATCAGCATGGCTGATGCTAACCTCCAAGGAAGCAACTCGTTGTGACTTTTCAAGCTAACATTTTCCACTGGTATGAAGTGAAAAGATTATGTTAAATCAATTGCTAAGACTGCTGCTAGGAAAATCAGTTCACTGTGTCGTGCTAGACAATTTTTCCCTCCAGAATCTATCTTACATATCTATAAGTCTACCATTCGTCCAGGCTTAAAATATTGCTTCCACACTGCTGATCTCCAGCTATATATCTAGAGATCCTTAAAAAAATCCAAAGATGAATCAGCAATATTTTTGGTCCTGATCTGGCGTCTCGGCTTCAGTCCCTTTCCAACCGCCGTAAAGTTGACTCGTACTACTTTTTCAACAAATACTTTCATGGTAATTGTTTGGGAGAGTTCTTCGCTATAGTACCTAGACTTTATGAGTTTAACTAGACTGGCGACAAGCTCTCATCAGTTTACAGTTGAGTTAGCTAGATGTAACCGTAAGTTTTATGCTAACAGTTTCTTTTCTCGAAGTTCTCGCTTGTGGAACTCTCTTCCAGCTCCATGCTGTCCAGCCAACTTTAATCTTAAAAAATAATGTAAATGCAATGTCAATCGCTATCTGCTGTCCTCGTGATTACTCTTCTTTTGTTCCCGCTTATTAGTAATGTCTCTGTTTCTTATTCTTCCACGTCCAGTAAACCTTTGTGTCGTAATGACTTTACTGCCCTGCTTGGGGTGAACTAAAAACAAAAACAAATAAAAAACGAAACACACGCACTTCAACTGTTTTGAATGGAAAATATTCTTGATTTTGAAATTGGCTGTCAGCGAACGTAAACAAATAACTTTTATACACTAATTTTACCAACTCAAGGTCTGATAATATGATT